CCGGTGCAGGGGGCGGGGGGACCAGTAGGTACCCCGCCCGCCCCGGGCCTCGGCTCGCCAAGGCTCGCATGCTCGCAGCCTGCGGCGTCTTCTCACATCTGGCCTCGATTCCTCCGCTTCTCCGGCTAGCAGAGCTTGGACAGAGCCACAGTCGGCCCGGAGTCGGAGCTCGGGTCAGCAAAGTGGCCCTAAATGTTTATCCAGGACCCAAGGGCAACCTGGGGTCTCTGCTCACTCGCCAGGTAACCAGAGAGTTCAAGGGACCGAACTTTTTGCAGGAGATAAAAAGAAAAATGCGTAACAGCGACCCCTCACCTCCTGGAATCCTGAAATTTAACCCATGTTCTCAAACCGAGTAGTCTAACCCTACTCATGCCAAAAAGCTCACAACAATAGTTACTAATCTGAACTACCCACACCAAAAATCCCCTTGGAGTCTGAGTCATCTTGCCTGTACTCATCTGGTCCACTTTTTTTTTTTCTTTTTTCTTTTTTAGCTGCCCTTTCTCTGTCTGCAGCCTGTGCTAATTCCAGTTTTTAATGGAGCGGGAAAGACCCTGTCCAGATCTCCTGGGATCTGACCAGAGACAAGTTGCCTCCAATTTGTCTTCTACCACATTTTTAAAACCTTCACTTCAAATCTTTTGCTGCTCAATAAATAGGAAATACTCAGAAGGACCCAGGCCAGGGAGTTAATAGGAAGCCTTCAGTTGGTTCCCAGTAGGTGGCTACCATTCTCATTAGCTGGAGTTTTCAGTTCCATAGTAGCGACCCCATGGACTGTTAGCCCCCGACCTGGCAGGCTGCCCTGTGTTCTGCTCAGGGGCGCTCCTCCAGGCCCTTGGACTAGGCCTCCAAGTTCGGTCCCGCTCATCGGGGTCTCTGTTTCGCTTCGCACACGCCAGGTAGCTCCAACATACTGCTCCATACCTGGAGACGATCTGGGCGGCGTCCTTTTCCCAGTTCCTCCGGCTCCTGATAATCAATGCGCTCCCATCATTCTGAGCAACTCATATTGATGAAATCTTTAGACGTCGTATTTCCAATATAGAGGAAGAAAGAGAACAAAAGAAAAACAATAGGAATGTAGAACTGTTGTCAGTTGTTCCTCTTAAAAAAATCAGAGGAAAAGGAGAAAGCAGATGATGCAAGAGAATTCAAATAAGAAAAGAATAAATACCTCAGTTTGTAGAAGCAGATTGGACAGGGGAAAAGAGAAGAAATGATTAGAGCTGTAACAACGGTAATATACTTTGGCGTCCTGAATTAGGCAGAATAGTTCATAACACCTTTCTAAAGGGAGGGTCTTACTAATAGGAGCAATTGTACACTGAGCATTTCATTTTTCCTATCTCTTTAGTCATCATTTTCTGCATTTTGTAGCAGGAAGAGTTGAAAATTTATTGGACTGTCAGAAAAGTCATGTGCATACAAAAATAAAAAGAATCCGCCAAGACTTTTCTGACAACTCAAACTAAGGCCGCATCCAGTAGTTGTCTCTCGTTAAATCCCTCTCCCAGCATTCTCACGTGTGTGTGTGACTCCCTAGCCATAAAACTGACGCAGAATTTGCAGTGTTTCTAAAATATTTTGTCCCATTTTGGGGGCAGTAACTATTATTGCCTATTGATTCTCAATGAAAGAATGAAATGTGTAACACGAAACATTCCGTGGAGGGACCAGCAGGTGGCACGGTGGCTGAGAGTGCTGGCCTCCCACACGGCTGACCGCGGTTCCATCCCAAACCTGTCGGCTCGCTTTCTCACATTCTCACTCTCTCTCTCTCGATTAAAAAAAAATGTTAAATGAAATAATTCTTTAAAAAGAAACAATGGAGATTTTCATTTTATTTCTTTCACGTGAACTTGTTTGTAAGATCCAGTGAAATCATTAGATGTATTTGAAAATATGAAGAAAGAAAAGAGAAAGAATGAATGAACAAAAGAAAAAGAGAAAGAAAGAAAGAAAGAAAGAAAGAAAGAAAGAAAGAAAGAAAGAAAGAAAGAAAGAAAGAAAGAAAGAAAGAAAAGACAAGCTAGTTCGCTAGCTTTGTTCTGACCAGAATAGTTTTCACTGGGTGGGGGGGGCGGGGGGTGTGTGGGCATGAGAGGTGATAGAAGGACATAGAAGTTTGGAAGAGAAAACATTGTTATGGGTGCAGCTTTGAAAAATTAGAAAGCCTGCCATTTGTGGCGTAGTAGTTAAGGCAGCTGGATCCCACGTAGCTGAGTGTGCTGTTCAAGTCCTAGACAGAAGAATGAGGGAAAAGGGATTGTGGCATGGCCATCCCCTGCAGGGAGCTGCTTTCCCACTTTCTCTCTCTCTCTCTCTCTCTCTCTCTCTCTCTCTCTCTAACACTGTCTCTCTCAGGCAAGTACATGCACTCTCTAGCAAATTAGAAAGAAGATCTCCATGTATGCACTGCTAGGTATACTGCACATGTCCAGACGGGGGTTCTCAGACACCAGAATTCATCAGAACTTGTTAAACACAGACGGCTGAGCCCTGTCCTGACGATGTCCACTTGAGTGTGTTTGACTCGTAGAAGACCACACTTTGAAAACCACTGGCATGAGAGATTTAAAAGAAAAGTCTAGGTTTCTTTTTAGCTAGAATAGACCTTAAAAATCATCCTGTTAAATCTCTCTATCTTATAGATCAGAAAAGTAGTGCCTTGGAAGAACAAATGGCATACCCAGCATTTCACACCTGGAGGACAGATCGCGTGTTCCAACCCCTTGCTGCCTCAGGCTTTGTTGATGTGTGTCTATTTATGTGAAGAACATCTTCTTACATACCCACTGCCGTAACCACTACGCCGTGGCGGCTCTGTACCACAGACCCTTATTGGTAAAACACACAAGCAAACAAAAGTGTGATCTGAAGGTTAAACAAATATTTATTGTAGTATCCCGAGGAATAGAAACTGCCCAGGACAGAAAGAATGCCCAAGAGGACTTGACAAAATAATGGAGGAATGAGTGTCTCCCTGTACTTTGAAATTAACTCAAATCAACAATTTTTTAAAGTTTGTTTCTTTCTTCTATGAAATATAAAGTCGACAAGAGAAGCAGCCCCACAGGGTCGTCACGCTGTGGTCCACCCCAGCCCCAGTTAGCCAGAATCACAGGTACATGTGGGCATGGCCGGCAGGTACAGAGAGGTCCCTGGGCACGAAACCAGGACCTTCCCATGGGGTCTGGTTGTACAGCTACTGTGCCACCATCTGGCCCCCACTTCAGCAAACAGTTTTAAATGTTTACTCTGAGTAAGAACCAATGCTTTGGAGTAGATATCACAAGGTTAGAGGGACATAATCCCAGTACGAACCATCGAATCATTCCATACATGCCTATCACAGAAAATGGGATTATCTTAGAGCTTCTCTTCCTGGCCTCTTTCTAAACTGCTGTTGGTTCATTTTACCTGACCTCTGATATGGTCCAAATGTTCATGTCCGCTCAAAATGTTCACATTGACATCCTAACCCCCAAAGAAGTAATAGGAGCGAGGGCCTCAGGTCACGAGGATGGAGCCCACGTGAACTGGAGTAGTGGCTGTTGTTAAAGAGGCCCCCAAGGGCTCTCTCCTCACTTTTGTCGTGAGCGAGGTCACAGTGACAAGCCCTTCATCTGTGAGGAAGCAGCACCTCCCCAGACACCAAACCTTCCGGTGCCCTCCCTGACACTGCGAGAAACGTGCTTAGTATGTTATAAGCCACCCAGCCTGTGGTATTTTATTCTAACAGCCCAACACACTAAGACAACCTGCAAAGTAAGTTATTTGGGGAGCTTTTTATCACATGATAGAAACTCAATTTTTCATCATCTCAGTGAGGGAAATGATAGCATACCTGAACCAGAAAGGGGAGGATAGAAATATTTTCAGATGCAATTGGAACCAGCAATTCCAGCACTCCTCCCACCCCCTCACGTGGAACGGCTTCTTCCCTTTATCAGTTTCTTGACAAAGCTTAACCTTAGGCACTGGGGAGTCCAGCTCACGTGTTCACAACTTTGCAAGAAGGAGGGACAGAAATCGCCACAGCAGGCTCGCAGGTTCAGCACAGGTCACAGACATACCCCTCGGCCAGTCACTGACGATGGGGTCCGAGGATGCCACCGTGCTGTTCGAGTTGTGCCAGTCACAGCAGTTACATTTTTGTGTGTCTATTACCGTCATTTTCCAGTAGGTGGCAGTAAAATGAATTATTCTACTAAAATATGTATATTATGGTCACTTTTTGATAGATGAAAGTAAAGTGCTTTTAAGAAGAAATATCATTTTCAAAATTTATACAAAGGCAAGACAGCATATGAATCAGCAGTGGTTCTACTTGGGTCGGCAGGTGGTGGTAAGGGAGCAGAATAAGCTGGCCGATTTGGGCCAAGCTGCCTACCTTTGTGATGTATTTCTTCCCCCAGACAGAAAATGAAGCCCTCAGAAAAGGGAACATGATACATATCCACATATAGTCTATAAATTATATTCCTTCCTTGCATCTCATACTTACGAACTGACATTTTTTTAATTGTCATTTAATTGACTTTTCTTTGGTGGGGGGAGAGGTTTTTACTATAGGGCGCGTGCGCTCACCAGACAGACAGAGAGAGACAGAGAGACAGAAAGTGAGAAATCACCCCCCCCAGGGAGGATGGTCATGCTGCAATACCTTCTCCTCCATTCTCCTCTCGGGATCTTGGGCACACACACACACGTGCCCTGCGTGAATTTAAGCAACCAGATCTGGGACTCGAACCGCGGTCGACTACGTGGGAGTCCAGCAACATAGCCATTACGCCAACTGCTGGTCCTTTCTCATTTAATTGACTTTTTAA